TTGCTAACTGCCCAGGCTGACCTCAAACCTGTGATCCTCCTGTCCCCCCTTCTAGGCAGCTAGAGGATTAACAGGTGGTGTACTAAAACACCCAGATAGTGGCTGGGGATTTAGCTCAGTGGTTCTGGCGCCTGCCTAGAAAGCACAAGGTCCCAAGTTCAATCCCCGGTACCAAAACTAAAACACCCAGCTTTAATTACTTTTTAAGTAGAACTTAAGATTCTCACATGTAACATGGTTAATTAAAAATTATTGTATAAACTGATTTTAAAAACCCAGATATGTCCATATGCTCAAACTCACAGGCTACACAAAGAGTGAGCCCTGCTGCATACTATGAACTCTGAATTTTCATCAATTTTAAGAAATGTCTCACTTGTGGTGTGAAATGTCCACATGTAGAGGCAGGGAGTTTATGGGAACTCTCTACTTTGTCTTCAGTTTTGCTGTGAATCTAATACTGCCCCTATCCAATAAAGTTAATTCATTAAAAATCCCTATTTGGCAGATACCAAAATATTAGCATGAATATGATTTAAAAGGTTGTCAGCACATTGAAATAACTTCAGATTTACATGCAAGTATAAGAAATTATACAGAGTGGGCCAGGGTGCCGACGCCTGCCTCACAAGTCCTGAGTCCGATCTGCTGTACCAAAAAAAAAAAAAGAAAAAGAAAAAGAAAAAAGAATACAGAGGAAAGGGGTGTGGTGGTCACAAGTATACTCCCAGCACTCTCTGAGGCTGACAGGAGGATAGAGCCCAGCCTAGGTAACTTAGTAACCTACTGAGAATCTGTCTCAGAATAAAAAAATAAAAAGGGCTGGGGATGTAGTTCAGTGCGAAGGCCCTGGGTTCAACCCCCAGTACCACCCTCCCAATGGAAGCCAGGTGTGTTTGTAATCCCAGCATTCTATGAGATGCTGGTTTCAATCTCTAGTACTTCATAATAGATAGATAGATAGACAGACAGAAAGATAGAAAGAAACAAGATCTTGTGTACTCTACATCCAGTCCTTCAATGGTAATATGGTATAATAGCTATATTATATATCTCTATGGTACAGTACCACAACCACGACATTGCCGCAGCCCCTCAACCTTACTCAGATTTCACCATTTCTACATGTACTTATATATTTCATGTACTTGTATATTTCACTGTAAGTCTTACATTTTGGGGGGACACACCTGTAATCCTAGCACTTGGGAGGCTGAGGCAGGAAGATCTCAAATTCTAGTTTAATCTGGCAACTCAGTGAAACCTTATCTCAAAATAAGACACTAAAAAAGAAAGAAAGAAAAGGGCCGGGGATGTAGCTCAGTGTGAAGGTCCTGGGTTCAATCCTCAGTGCCAAAAATTTAAAAAATTAAAAGAAAAGAAGGGACATGGTGTAACTGGATGAACCTTGAAGACATTCTGCTCAGTGAAAGAAGCCAGGAATACAATACATTCATATTTAATGTCCAGTGCTAGGAAATCACTGGGGGAAGGTACTGCTAGAATCAGGATGATGGCCAAAGGTATGAAAAGTTTTAAGACTGGTGATGAATGAACAAGTCTGTGACTATATAAAAATCATCAAATTGTATATTTTCATGGTGAACTGTATGCCGTGTAATAAAATTATTACTTAATAGACAGTTGATCCTTTTGTAGATCCTAAGTGTGAGAACTGGGGCTTTTGAACCACTGTGTATGTTGTGCCTCCCTCTAACCTTGTAAGAAGACACAGCCCTTCAGCCAGTTTCTCCACGGCTCACATCACATGTAACTACGCTACACCAACACCAAGGAAGTGCCGCAGGTGAGGTGTGGGTATGGGCTCTGCTGCTGCATGCATTTGTACACCATCACTGCACTCAAGACACAGACCTTCCCATTGTCACCAAGCTCCCTCTTATGCCACCCCTATACCCTGCCTTCCTGACCATCAACCTCTGGCAACCACTAACATGCTGCCTACCTCTGTAATTTTGTTATTTTGAGGCTGTCACACTGACGGAATCGTGGTACTTTTTGATATGTATTTGGGCTTTTCCCCAGTAAGTTTAACAGCACAGTGCCCTGAGATCCATACTGTTGCATAAGTTAAGAGTTCCTCCAAACCCCCTTTCGTGTGTGTGTGGCACTGGGGATTAAGACTGAACTTGGGGTCTTCTCACTGAGCCATATTACCACCCTGTGTTTAAATTTTCATTTTGAGATAGGTTTCCCTAAGTTCCCCAGATGGCATTCAAACTTGTGATACTCCTATCTTAGCCTCCCAGACAAGCCAAGCCATTTTATTGAGACAGAGTCATGCCTGGTTGGGCTTGAACTTATGATCTTTCTGGCTCAGCCTCCTACAATACTGGGATTATAGGCATGCACCACAACTGGCTTTTTTGTTTTTGTTATGCTGGGGATTGAACCTAGCATCTTTTGAGATGGGATCAAAGTCACTAAGTTTCCCAAGCTGGGCTCGAACTTTATCCTGTCTTAGCCTCCCAAAGCCAATATGCCTGGTCTTTTTTTTTTTTTTTTTTGAGACAGGTCTCATTATGTTGCTTAGGTTGTTCTTAAACTCTGGACTTAAGAGAGCCTCCTGCCTCAGCTTCCCAGTGCTAGGACTATTGGAGAGCACCACTACATCTAGCTCAAAAGTTCTTTCCTTTGCACTCCTGAGTATCATTCAATGCCACCAGTTTGTTTAATCATTTGTCTACTGATGGCTGTGTGGGGTTTCCAGTTTTTCATTATTACACAAAAAGTTGCTACGAGAATCTGTGTACAGGTTTTGCATGCACATTGTTCTCTCTCTGGGGATCAATTCCCAGGACTGCAACTGCTGGCTAGCATGTGAGGGTGGGCTTCATCTTCAAGAAGCTGCTGATCTGCCTTGTGGAGCAGCTCAAGACCGTAGGGGAGACAACTGACTCTCGGCCTAACAGCACACCACTGACCACTACCCAGTAACATCAGTGAAAAATCACAATGGTCACTAGGTTAATCCTTGGGAAATGGTCTTGTGGGCAAATGAAGCAATATTTAAGAAAATGTACTAAAATTAAGTAAGGTGAAGGTCTGTGGTATTTGAACCTGACTGCTGTTCT